ATCCCAAACTTTTGACCAGTAGTGTATATATATATATATATATATAAAATTAACAGTCGCCAAGCGCCAAATGCGGCTTTGGCGAGTATATGAAACTGTGTCAGTCGCCAGAAGGCTGGTAACATTTTTATAAATTCTAACAGTTCAATGTTGTGAGAACATAAACGTGAACGACGCTCTGTACAGTTGACGGGTCAGTGCTGCTTCATCGAAAAAGTTTAAGCCTTTGCAGTGTAAATATTCAAGAGCTAGAACACACGAAAGGACACACGTTCCTCTCGCGCTGTGTGGGAAGTTTAAACATCCGAAACCCCGGCCTGAAAGCCGCGTCTTGAGCTCTGCTTCCTTCCTGCGCTTAAACGGACAAATTAACACAAAATTATGTCAAAAATGACCGTCTCGGTGAGTATCCTAGTAAAGTAGTCGGTTCTTAAGTGAACATGAACAGCTGAGAAAGAAATGTGTCAAAAGACGACAGAAACCAATATAATCAGTGATATTGTCTCCACAGGATGCGACACGACAAATCCCCAAAAGTAAACTGATTCCCCATTCTGTTTCTGAAATAGTCCAAAGCACTTTGCAACGACCGCTTTGTCGCATCCAGTGTTGACAACTTCAAGCTGCTGCGCTGTTAAAGTGATAGACACAGAATTCCAAAAATACTGCTGTTGTCTGCGTTTTTAATGTTGATCAAAGAAAATAGGATAATGAAAAAACCAATCACTCACTGCTCTTGAACTTTAAAAAAGATATATAGCCTATGTTATTTGATTAGCATAATTTATTACATTTCTGCAGGCTACCTGAAAATCACTGTTAGACCTGCCTGAAATGCACGTTTCCATTTGTATCTTTGTTGTATAGTAGGCTATTTTGTGCTATTGCTTGTAATTTGATTTGCTCTTATTTTACAACTGACTATTTACTAGTCTTTAAAAATGTAGCCTATTAAATTTATGTTGGTTAAGCTAGTAGTTTTAGCAGGTATCGAAACTGGAATCAAGGATTGTGATTTTTTGCTATTATCTAAAATTTTGGTGTCATAACTGCCTGTTTTTTTTTCCCGTGGCTGGTAAAAAATATTTCTGGCCGGTAAATTGCCTTAAGTCACCGGCCAATGGCAGGTCTGGCAAAAAGTTTGTTTTAGGCCCTGTGTGTATATATATGTGTGTGTATATATATATATATATATATATATATACAGTATATAGTGAAAGAGGTATATCCACAGTTCTGTCTATTTCCCGATCATTATTGTGCTGGTGGGTATTATTTTGGCAGAGGTGTGTGTGTGTTTCTGGGATGCGTGACTAATGTTGCGGTCTGCTGCTCATTGCAGGCGGTTATCGTGTGCCACCATGGCAGCAGGCTCACAGTGCATAGAGACAATTGCTAATGAGCTATAACCGGGAGCACTGGGGGACTGCAATGTGTGTGCTGGGGCGGGAGGGGGACCACACTGTCCCGCACCGTTCTACTACGGAGTTGTGGGACGAAAGAATCTTCCAGGGATGGAGCGGTTGATTCAGATTTTGTAAGAGTAAAAAGATTGTACCGCAACAGCAGGCATTGAGAGAGAGAGAATGTGATCGTAATGTGTTTGTCTTAAAAGCAGAGGAGGAACAACTCTGATACTCAAACTTGTTTATTCACACAAGCAATAGAGAAGAGGGTGAAGGTGAGAAAAGAAAAGAGAGAGCGAGAACTGCTCGCTCTTTAAAACCCCACTAACCCCTGGGGCTCAGAGCTGCAGTGCTCGTAACCCTGCTGATCCTCCCCTGAGCTTTGGCCTGTTGTGCAGGTCTGCAGCAGGTACTGGACTGTTTATACAGAGAGAGAACAAGTCCCTCATTACTAAAAGCCATTTCATAATGAAGACGTCCTATAAATTACGGTTAAATAATCAACTCACTTATAGTAACTACGATGGCAGTTGTATCGTTACTCAAAAACAATCGCCAGCTCTTGACAATAGTGTTCTTTTTTTCTTTCTTTTTTAAATGAGTGTCATACATTACCATTCAAAAGTTTGGGGTCAGCAAGATTTAAAAAAACAAATAAATAATTTTTCTGCAAATAATATTGATTAAAAGTGACAGTAAAGACATCTATAATATTACAAAATATTTGTATTTCAAATAAATGCTGTTCTTTTGAACTTTATAATCATCAAAAATCCCTGAGGGGGAAAAACTATTAGGGTTTAAACAAAAATATTAAGCAGCACAACTGCTTACAACATAGACAATAAGACATGTTTCTTGACCAAATCAGCAAATTAGAATGATTTCTGAAAGATCATGTGACACTGAAGACACTAGTAACGGCTGCTGAAAATTAAGCTTTGACCATCACGGCAATAAATTACACTTGAAAATACATTAAAAGAAAAAAGCTATTTTAAATTGTAATATGTCACACAATATGTATTTTTATCAAATAAATGCAGCCTGTGTGAGTGTAAGAGACTTTTCAAAGACTTTAATAAAATTTATTGACCCCAACTTTTGAACAGTGGTGTAGCTGAAAGAAAATGCAGAAAATTAATGTTTTCTCATGGCAGTTTTCCAGAAAAACAGTTTTCCCCCTAAAAAAAATTGTAATAAAAAATAAAAAATAAATTATGTGTATTAATTATGCTATTATTACTTAATTATTACCAATAATATAATTGGGTAGATATTCTTCTTCTCTGACCCAAATGAATCGTTTTTGAGCAACAATTTTGCTTCACCTTTAGCAGGTCTGTTAATCGGTCTCTGGAATCTTAACCTATTTGTGGCTAGTCCTTGGGAAATCTCAGCCAATCATTTCACACCTGCTGCAGTACTGAATGAGGCCTGTTGACCCAAACGAACACATCACTGCAGTTATTGTTCATCAAAGAACCTGCTAACATCTGCTCACAGGAAATCCCCTCTGTCAGCAGAGCGAAAGAGAGAGCGGGAGAAAGGGGTGAACAGGTGGGGGAAGGTAGTCGCCACCATCTCTGAACATGCCCTGCAGTCACCACCTGGGGGCTCTGAATACAACAGCCAGATAGGAGGTCATCACACACACACACACACACACACACACACACACACGTATTAACACCAAGCAGTCAGCGGTACACAGGTATGCATATTCTTACACACACAACGCTGGTATTTAATAAACACAGCAAATCGATCCAATGCATGTCTGCGCCGTGAGCCACACGGTGCTGTCGATACTTCCAAAGCTCTCTGTCAGAAAAGGTCAGGTGTGACATGAGGTAATGACTATAATGTCGTTCTGACTTGTTCATGTGTTCCGGCTTAAAATATATAAACACATGATGTTCCTCAGAAGAAGAATAACAAGAGACAGTGAATAAAAGAAGAAAAAACAATCACCCTGTCTTGGCCTTTTACCTCACCTTAAGTGAATGATAGATCCAAGCAAATCTTTTCATATTTTTAAACAGCCATAACATGACAACAACAAAAAAATTAATAAAATACAATTAAAACCTTCCCAATCTCCTTTGGGAATCTTTAGATGGGTATATTTTTGGTGCTTACTGTGCAAATTAGACACCACAATGCTAATATTTTTTCAAAGTCTTTTATGTGGTTGCTAAGGCTTTACTAAAGTGTTCTGGGTGGTTGTTTACAAGCCACATGTCTCTATGATATGCTGGTCTCTAAATATGGCTTGGGTCCCTACTTCAATGTAAAGCTATGGTAGTTTTTGCTTATTCTATCTTAAAATTTAGGTCTTTCAAGCTACAAGCCACACAATTTGAAGTAACACTCATGTCTATAGCCAAAACAGTGCGGAATGTGTTACTCAACAAAGTTTAATTCTTATGGTTGATAATACTTATTGTTCACAATGAATCTCGAAGTATGAGCAGCAATAACTGTGATGCTTGCTTAGCAAACTGGTTAGAGCTGGTGGTTGTAAATGTGGCTACCTGCAGGCTACCCGATTCCGGGCTGAGGGGTGAAGTACTGGATGCCGTCAGCGATGAGGAAGATGATGAAGAGGAAGGGGAGCTGCCACCATGTGGCCGGATCTCTGTGAGCTTCTTGAGCTTCAGGTCCACATGCCTGCTTACACCTAAAGCGAGAGCGAGAGCAAGAGCGAGAGAGCGAGAGCAAGGAAGAGTTATATGCAGCAGGCCACTCGTCTCTAACACACAGATAAGCAGAGGACATGACAATGTTTGCCCTTAAGCAAACCGGCCCTCTCAACCTCATACACACTCGCATATATACACACTGGAGAGATAGCAAGATGCTGAGAGTACAACACACCTGGAATGTCTCCCTTGACACTCACATACACCTCATGTGAATTAAAAGACCTCTAATGAGGTCTAATGTTTGTTGTTCCCAATGTTGCCTAGATTTTTAGTTTTCTATTGGCTGCACTCATTATACATAATACATTATACATACATAATATACACTACTGTTCAAAAGTCCCCTATGCTTACCAAGCCTGTATTTATTTGATCAAAATAAAGTAAATGTTACAGATTGTAAAGTTATAAATGTCTTTAATCAATAATCAATGTGTCCTTGCTGTAGAAAAAGTACTCATCTTTAAAAAATCTTACTGACCCCAAACTTTTGAAATGTAGTGTATATCAATCAATACACATTTATTCATAATAAATGTTTTTATTATTTTATGTATATTCCATTATTTTTTTCATAATTTTTCACAGATTACTAAATATATTGATTATTATTATTATTTGTCAGTTGTTCTCTTGAAAAGAAAAAGAAAAGAGGAAAAACTCTAGAACTTGCTTTGTTGAGATCATAAAACAAGACAAAAAATAAAATAATGCATGTCCTTTGTATGTAACACAATGAAATTTGTACTGTACTGTTTGTGAATTAATCCTCTCGGGAATTAATCAGTGCTGTGTATTTCCACACAAGATTTTTCACAGCTTCAACTGCATACTGAAAAAAAAAAATCCATGGACACTCAGATAGACTCAAGTTGAAACTCTATCCACTCATTTAGCTCTAATTCAAGAATCTCTAGCTCTTCCCCATCTATTTTTTATGTCTGGCTTTGAGTTATTTTATCCATCAGTGAGAGAACAAGCGAGCAGCCACACATGTTTAGAGGGAACAGTGCTTGTTCATGTGATTCCCTGAAAGAAGCACAACTCATAACATCTCTTTCTCTTTAAATGAACAATGACTTCTAATTTTCTCCCTCCACATGCAAACTTGTCTTTCAAATGTGTTGGTGTCTTTTTATGTTCGCCTTTATAAATTCCAAGTCTTTCTCTAATAACCTTTCACTAGCAGGTTTAGCCTTGCCCTCTCTCTCACTCTCTTTCTCTCATCTGGGCTAGAGATGAAAGTGAGGTGAGGAAGCTTTTCATGTGGGTCTTGTTCTCGGATCCCAGTATCACTCTCTCTCCCTAAAAAACACCACAGGATTCCATTTATCAGGCCTCAGCACAACCTGGAGAAAGGTGCAGGTGTGTGTATTGACCAACAGTTTGCCCAAACACAAGAACCACATCCTCAACTAATTAAAGTGTGCACCATGATGGATGTCTATAAGATCTTTTGTGTTTAGATCAGTTAGGTTTTTTCCCTGCAGTCCATTTTTGTTGTTAGAAACATTAACAAAAGTCCAACTGTGCCAAGGAGAAAAGTATGACTCTTTGAGAGCTGAAATGTGCTAAAAAACTCCTCCTTTTTCATTATGACACATCTTCAGTTCATTATGTTAGAGAAAAGGACATAGACCTTCTTTTCACAATAACAGACAAAAACACAAACCAATGAAACAAACAACGTAGATACTGCACACAAGTAAACAAAAGAGAAAGAATAATTCAGGTTTCCTCAAGATACATCTCATATGACTTTCTCAGCAAGACAAAAAAATAATTAACGTCACATCTCTTCAGAAGATATAACTGTGTTTGTCTTGACAATATGTTCAAATACTCTTGATTAAACGCAAAGGCACAAAACATAAAAAAAAGAATTTCTCCCAAACAGAAATGAAATGTTATTAACAGGCACAAACCTCCCTTAAGAAAAAGATGAGCTTATTTTTTTTCTTAATGATATATTGAATTAAAAGATAAATTAATTCTAAAAGGTGGTTAAAATAGAAAGTTATGCCACTGGGGACAAGAAAGAAATACAAAATTATAGGGCTACACGAATTTAGTGAAAAGATTTAAGTGCGATTTTTCAGATTAAAAAAAACATGTCTAGTGCGCTTGTTCATAGGGATGCACAATTTGGCCAAACTTTTGTGATTATATATTAATAGGACAACAACAACAACAACAATAATAATTTTTACTATTATAATTATTAAAATATTAAACAAAACAATAAATATTAGTACTGTAATTTCATTGCAATTCAATTATTTCACTGTAAAATTATAGTACAGCAATATTTCTAAGCACTTCATAAACACTTTGGTTTATAATCATTCCTTACTACAAGTTTAGGAAGATGTTTGGAGCATATCTTCCCAACACGTTATAAGCAAACCAATGCAGAGATGAGTTTGCATGGAGCGGCATTTTCTGTGAACTGAGCTGCTCAAAAACACATCTTGAGCAGCTCATGTGTAGAAGAACACAGTGCAGCGTTTCACTGTGAAACATGGAGCGCATGTATTTGATAATCACACTAAACTGATTTGTGGTTTTGGTTTCATATTGATTAATCCATGCAGCCCTACTAAATTAAGGGTTGTCATGGTACGGTAAAAGGTCAAAGGTTAACAAAAAATCTAAGACAGACAGAAGTAGTTATACACAGATAAATCACTGCACACTAATGCACAAACTTGGACATCGAATGTTGCGGTGCACACACGTTCACACACACACACACACGCACACACATGCACACGCTGAGGTCATGCAGTGCTGGGTTACCCAGAGAGGCCAGGTCACTGGCAGAGTTAGTAAAATCATCTTCCATTAGACATGAAGACGACAGTTCCTCCTCAGGGTTAGTATGAGTGACATCATCAGTGTGAGACGCCGCCGCTGCCTCAATATCACTCCTGCTCTCCTCATCCTCACCCTCCACACTCATCCCATCCATCATGTCTGCGAGCAAACAAACAAACAGGGACGCCCAAAAAAAAGAGAAGAGGAAAGAGACAGAGAATGTTAGTGAAGCATTGAGCATTATTTTTGGTATTCCAGCGCGAAAGGAAACTTTGCATGTTAGTAAAGAGTCAGAAAAGCATTCGTTTAGACCCATTTAGATGTTAAAATAGTATTTCCTTAACAAAAAGTTTGCTGCTGTCACATCAGGGTGTGTGTGTGTTTGAGCTGAGAGAAATCAGGCAGATGGCTGAGAGTGTCTGGCAGAGAGCTGAGCTTTGTGTGTGTGTTGCATGGCAGATTTGGCCTTGACGGCGAAATCTCCTCCAGAGTCCCTCTTCCGCATCCACAGATCTGAATCCCACAGAGCCCTTGACAATACACACTCAATCCAAACACATCGATCTCATTCAGTTATATGGTAACCAGAGCAGAGCCGCACACACACGTTGCAGTTAGAACTTAAATAAGAGACAAAACAAAGAGGAAAAAGGGCTGCACGATTCAGGAGGGAAATTCTAATTACAATTTTTCTGATAAATTTGAAAAACATTGTGCTATTAAAAATTCAATAAAAAGAACTTCAGGTTTGCTGTGCTTGTTTGTAGGGCTGTACAAACTGTCTAATAATTTTGTGATTACATATCAATATGACTACAAAATAATAATAATAATAATAATAGTATGATTATTAATATTAATATATTATAATTTATAAAAATAATTATATCATCATACAAATATTAATCAGAAATATTACTATTGTAATATTTCACTGTAAAATAAAAAATATATAAGAAAAACAAAGTAATAATTTTATTGTACAATATGACTGTAAAATTATAATGTTAATCAATTTCTATAATATTATTAAAAACCAATACGTTTTTATTTTCTGCTGAAAACTTTCAGTTGAAAAAAAAAATCCATAAAACAGTTTCAATAGTTGTGAATTGTGAAAATTACATGATGTAGGGCCTTTATACAGTGCATGTTTGTCTGTCCCTAACAGTCTTGTCTTCATCTGTGTTCAATTAAATTTGCCGTCCATCCTGATTAAGGTCTATAAGCACATTACATAAGCTGTTTGTGTATAAAACAACAGTTGCTTGCACATAAAACAACAGTTTTCACTCTGAAAACAGCTTCACTCTGAAACGCACACTGCACATATTTATGTAATTAAATCATAACCTTTGCAATTTGAAAATTGTATTTGAATTTTATTTTAATTACTTGTGTAGCCCAATAGGAAAATGCCACATGATGTCCCTAGAGAAACGCCCCAACAACCAGAGAAAAAGAGCGAAAGAAAGAGACAGTATGTTTCTTTTTTTCTTTCTCCTTAATGCTTTTTTTAAATGTACTTTCCATGATACGGGGACACACACACAGGGCAGTGCTAAGCTAATTAACAGAACGCATGCTACTGGAGTTGGTGAAAGTTTTGCTGGCAAATGTTTTGCTCTACTCAGCTCGAGCTCTCTCAGAATTAGAGGCGAGTGTTTGTGTGTGTATGTGTGTGTTGGTGGGCTTATGCGTTCTGCACGATAGGCCTTGTGCACCAAGCCTATAGCATTTCCCTCCAACCTGATTTTTAATAAGTTCTACAATTAGCAGAGTTCAACAGCCCGAAAGGCCAAATAAACCATTTTTTTTAACTCTCTTTCTTCCTCTCCCTCCCTCTGACCCGTTTTTCCTTCGCTCCATCCGTACACAGGGTTATCCATCTCTGTGGGCCGCAAGAGGTGTTCTGCAGTGTTTCTGAGCCACGGTAAATGCGTGATTGCAGAGGAGAGAACACTATTAGGCAGACAGGGCGAGGATGAAGAGAAAATGGAGGGCGTCAAAGAGTGTGAGATGAAAGAGATAAAAGGAGAGGAATATTGTGTCTCCCCTTGAGCTGTGAAATGGTACACACGGACATTAGCCGGCACAGAATTAGGCACAGTGGCTAGCCCGCTATGTTAACACCTCGAGTATTAAACAAAACCTCGATGCGCCGCTAACACCCCTCTTGCTCCGCGTGCATGCGCACTTTTAATTATACGCAGTGGCTAGTCACAACGCTAAGACCCCTTGGCGTAAACACGTTTAATAACATGCCACAGTTGGCCGCTATGCTAATGCCTCACTGTTTCCGCACGGGCCTCCCAGCGGTTAACGTTACACTAACGTGTTGTCTCATTGTCCTGCAATGTGAAATAAAAGGAGAAATGGTGGCTGATGATAAAACAGGACGCGGTGGGAAAGCCGAGCTGAAAGAGACACGGTCTATAGGAGTCCTACATGGACAATGAGATGGTGATTACCCGGCATGGGTGTGTGTTATATTGACGGTGATGATGATTTAGGCCATGTGGACTGGTGTGTGAGTGTGCGTGTTGGGGCACAGGGCAATGTTGGCGGTCGTGAGTTCTCCTGATGTATTTCCGAAGGATTATGTGGGAAGTGACTGCCTGAACAAATGGAAGTGAAGCCCTCTGTGAACACCTCAAATTAGAGTTCAGACTACGTGGGTGTGTTGGTGTGTTTCTTAATGTAATGCTCCTTTGGGCCTTGAAAGCAGACGTGTTGGTTGCCATTATGAAGTGAGCAACGAAATCGCTTTTTTTCTAAATCGGGCTGAAAGCCACTAATGGACACAGACACATGTACGGCCTGCTCTTAATGGACACACACACTGGAGCTTCATGACCAAATTAAATATCTCAAAAGCCAAACACCAGCATTCAGCCTTAAGGTTATGAACATTTTCACAATGATCTTGGGGAGCCTGAAATAACAATGACAGAAAATGTGTGCAAGTTCAATAAAATACTCTAAACTCACCAAAGAATTTAAATTCTGTTCAGTGTTATTGCAAGCTAAAACTATTACAAATAATTTTAGTTCATCATTGAAATAAAGCTGAAATATAATTAAATATAAATGAAAAAACTTAACTGAAATAAATTGAAGTACTAAAAAATAAACCAAAGCTATATATATATATATATATATATTTCTTATTAGTTGTAATGGTATTGCATAGTATTAGTTTAAATTTTTATGTTTTTTTGTATATATATATATATATACACATATATATATATATATATATACACACACATATATATATATATATATATATAT